GAATTATAGACCATTTCATTTGATAGATGCCCTTTTGTGAGAGAGAGATCTATTTAAATAGCATTTAATTTATATATCATTGTACATATGAGAGAGAGAGCTATTTATAAAAGGGTTTAAGAAGTGGCTGTGCCGCAAAGGGTGTGCATTGAATTATCTTACATCGAAGCTTTAAAGGCAAATTCACTATTATAAAACGTTTGTGGCGCATACACGTTAATGTGATTGCATACTGACAGTTGCAGAAATGTATCAACATGCCCTCAATTTTGAAATCGATATAATGATCAATGCAAAGCCATTCATGACATCGGCAAATCCGATGTCATATGCAAAACCATTCATGACATTGGCAAATCAGATGTATGACATCATCAAACGTCAAATCCGACTTATGACATCCCATTCATTAAATATCAAATCCGACTTCAAATATCACATTCGACTTATGACATCATAAAATCCGACTTCAAATCCGATTCATGACATCATCAAATTGATATCATCAAACATCAAATCCAACTTATGACATCATCAAATCCGACTTAAAAAAAAAAAACGGTCAAATCCCTTTTTTCACCATATCCGAAACGGGATGGGCGATACCCGATCCGGATCGCTCGATTCTGGATCATATTGCTGATTTTTAAAACATTGCCTTTGGGTCGAATCCCGTTTTTTAATCAGATCCAGAACGGGTTAGGCGATACCCGATCTGAATTGTCCGATTCCAGATCAAACCGATCATACTTTTTTCACTATATCCAAAACTGGCTAAACGATATCCGATCCAGATCGCTCAATTCCTAATCAAATCGACGATTTTTAAAACAATGCTTCCCCCCTAAAGAGTAACGGTCTAGATCAGCATGTAAACTATTGCTATAGTTTGACCTCTTACATCTTACTGAAACTTATTATTCAGCTTATCTAAGATGTATTACTCAATTTATCTGAAGATGTTGAGTAAAGCTAGAGGGCAAACACCACATCTAAAAGTTTAGCCTTTAGTGATACCCATTCACGTTTTATAGCTACAAGTCGACAACCCATATTACCCAATATCACATTTGGCTTCATGCGCTGCCTTTTACACCATATAAATTTGGATTTTATTTCGCCATATCACATTTTGCTTCCTGCCCTGCCTTTACACCATATAAATATGGATTTTATTCCGAACCAAGATACTTACACTTTATCATATTTAGCTCATCTACTAGAGGCAGGAAGGAAATTAGGGGTGATGTTTTATAGTTAACTTAGGAGGCTAGAAAGATTCATTTTATGTATATCTTATAAGGGCAGATTGGAAATTTTATTTTCAAGGAATTTTATTTTCTTGCTCAAGCTAATATTTTGATTTTTCTTATTTTCCGCTTGCATATATGTTCAAGTTTCTTCATATAACTAATATATTCTTCTTTGATGCATCATGTGCCTTTATTGATTCAGTTATGTTTTTTTTTCAAGTGTATTTATTGATTAAGTTATACAATTAGATATTACTAATAAAAGTGCGACTAAGTCACCAATCGGCGAGGGTGAGGGCATAATAATTTTTTTTTCAAAAAAGTCAATATAATTTTTTTTTTTTTAACGAGTGCAAGAGAAAAGAGAAGCATGAAGCTCTGTATGAAAAAGGTTATATCAACAAAGCGCGCTTTGTTCAAGAGGAAGAGAGAGGAGTTAATTTTGGAAGAGAGAGGAGTTAATTTTGAGTAGAGACCTTGACTTTTATAATTTAGATGACTTATTCTCTATTTTTTGGAATTTAGAATGAGTGGCAATGGAGAAATGGTTGCCATTAATATGGAGAGTTGACAATTTCAAGAAATATAAGGATAAAATGGAGAAGAAACTAAGAATAATAGAATGATAAAATGGAAAATAAACTAAAAATTAGTAGGATACAACTAAAAAAAATTACACATACCAATAAAATAAAGAGAGATTTCCTCCCATATTATATATAATAAATAGATAGATAATAGATAAATATATATAATGGATACAAAGAGTAGTGGTGGCAATGGTTAGGGCCGCCTCTAGCTTTAGACTAGCCCTAATCCCCATAGGAATGTCCCAGGCCCTACTAGGCTTTGGTAAAACAAGCTCTGGCTCAAGCCATCTCAGGGTTGGATCAAACTAAATAAAATAAAATAAAAAAGAAAATAAAAAAGTGGCTAAGCTAGGCCGAACTAGGCCCGCCTTCCCTATGCCCGGCCTATCCCTACCCTTAGGCCGTGTTTGCTTGGCCCTTGAGCTACATTTCGTGACCTAGGCCCTAATAATTAAGGCTGGGCCACCTGGCCCATTGCTACCCCTAAAGAGTAGAGGGGGTGGCCATGGGCCGATGGGTTTTTGATAGGTGGAAAGGAAGATGGGTTAAAGACGAGGCAGAATAATCATTTGTTTTTGTTCTTGCCAATGGTTATTATCGTCAGATTTGAAATTAGACGGTGGGATTTGCATGAAACTCGTTTACAAAATCTAAAAAGATTATTCTCATGCTTTGGATGCAATAAATACACACTCCTAGCCACTACACCCCATTCATATCTAATGGCTTGTACAACAGTGTGAGATTCTTATGTAAGAAGGAGATAAAATAAGAGGAAACTCGAAGATAATATACGCTTCATCTTCCCTAACCCTTAATTTGGTGAAGCATTTCTCGATAGACCTACAAATTTGATTAGTGTCTGGAGGCATTAATTTTTCATCTAACCATTAATCCAAAGGGATTTTAGAGAGAGTAGCCCTAAGATATAAGAAAAGTTGTCGGAATCCGAGGTATTCTTGCCTGAAATTGATTGTAAAGTGGCCATAAATTTGGTACAAACTCATCAGAATCCAACGTATTTTTGTCAAAAAATATTGCATATAGCATTATTACATGGGTCTAAGGGATTAGAAGTTAAAATATAAATTTTTTGAAAAATTAATGCCGCCGTATACTTCTCAAATTTGTATCTAATGGAAACTACTACACCAAATTATGGGATACAAAGAAATTTTTTCTATTTTGAAACCCGGGATCTCAAGTAGGATTGACTGATATTCCAGGGTAAACATAATAATGGACACAGTTTTGGTGAGTGGGCCCATGTAAGAAAATAAAAATAAATTCCAAATATACATCATTATCATAGTTGAGATTAATGAACTCTAAAATTTTGGATCGAAAATATATGTTTAAGATATATTTTGTAGGTTAACCGCGCAATAATAGTATGAGTAGGCCGACTCACAAAACACTTTTTAAAAAATGATTAAATATTCCGTAATAAAAATAAAATAAAATAATAATAATAAAAATTCAATAATGGGTAACTATTTATCAAAGAACCATGTAGTTCTCAATTATTGAATTCTTATTCGAATATTTTATTATTTATTAACTACAAATATGAATCGGGCGGCTAGCAGTGTGTCACATGTTGCACCCAATCAATAAGACAAATATAACTGGATTCCGTAAAAGCAAATTTGACACACGTTCACTGTCTGATTTAACATCGGACGGGTAAACAAACTTGTAAACTTACTGTTCCAAAGTATGCCCTTTAGGTCATCTGCTCTAGAACAGTAATAAATCACTATTCTGCCCCTCTCTTTTAAGCTCCTAGCCCTTCTTTCCCGCTGGGGAAAACCCATTGATTTTTCTGAACGCCCCTCTTTTTCTCTCTCTCTCTCTCTCTCTCTCTCTCTCTCTCTCTCTCTCTCTCTCTCTCTCT